AAATAATGAATAATTGGTTCTATTTTCTGTTTCGTATCAATAATTGGTTCTCTATTTATCGTGTTTAAAGATAAATTACATAAATAAATAAATAAATGGTAAAACTATCTTATGACACCTTTCGAATACACGAAGGATAAATTTGACGGAGGCACGAATACCTTTTTAAAACTCCATGTTTATTCGTCTAGAAGATAGCAGAACCGTTCTTTATTAAATTTTTCTTATATAATAAATAAATTTATATAAAGAAACCAAAGCCTTTCTTCATTATGGAGAAAGATGAAGGCAAAATCTGATAAAATCCTTTTTGAAATGAATATTTATAACAATTTTTAAAATACAGGAATTTAGTTTAAAAATTATAATCAAATAAATTTATTCAACATTTTTAAAAACTAAATTAAAGTTGAATTTCTCAAAAGATAAAACATAAGGTCAAAGGTTGAAGCTTTGATATTTCATAAATATCCACGATAGTTGAAGAAAGGTATCAAAGTACCATAAAGGATGAGTGGTTTCTTTAGGAATAGTAACTAACTCATAACTAATTGTACCAACGTGTAGTTTGCAGAGGTTATATATTAAATGGTAACTTCATTGGCCAATAAAATAAAGAAAAATAATGTATTTGATTTTTAATGTTTAGTTAATTTTGAAAATAATTTTTTATTATTTAAAAAGAATAAAGTAGTTCAAAAAATTATAAATTATAAATTAAAATATGTATAGATGTATAGATTTGATTTCTTTTGAGTTTTTTCAAAATAAAATATTATTTTTTTAACTAAATTATTAACTTTAGTCATTTTTTTTATAAATTATGTTTATTCATTTTTTAACAAATAAAAAATTAAACTTAAAATTCATAAATTAAATGTGTTTCTCAAATTTAATCATTTTTTACCATGAAATTATATTAATAATTTCTTCAATAAATATTAAATTTAGTCATTTTTAAAACTAAATAATATTTACTCAATTTTTATTTTTTATATAATTTTTTTTATTAAACTTAAAAATAATAAATTCAATGTGTTTCTCAATTTTAATCATTTATTACCATAAAATTATGTTAATTTTATAAGTCATGTTTTTAATATCATAACAACCTATGTTTATTTAGTTTGTATTGTTCAACTCTTTTTCTTAATGTAATTTACATATGTGAGTTGGGTGAGTTGTGAGAATCTCTACAATATTTTTTTATATATATGTTTCTCATATAAAGGAAGTAGCAAAAAAAAATGTCAACTATAATTTACGATTATGTAATTAATAGTCATATTATCATATTTACTGTCCAACCTTGACCATCACCCACTCATAAAATATATAGAATTTGAGGATTGTTAAAACAATTCTAAGAACACCTATTTTATAATATTCCCTACCTTTTTTATTTTGTTGCTCTTTGTGAATAATCATACTTTGATTTATTCATGAATTTTTAAATTATTTAATTTTTTATTTATTGATATAGTTGATTTTTAATTTCTGTATTAAATTTTTGTTTTCAATTGTTTTTGATGATTTAAATTTTTTCATATAGGATTTTATTGGAACCTTACACGACAAATAAAGTTTTTGTGTTTAGATTTGCTTCTTTGATGGCTTTGGGTATGTACTCTAGCTTTTTTTCTTTCTTTCTTTATTATACTATTTATATTGAACTCAATTAAGTACATGTTTAACTCTTTCTATAATTTTTAAAATTCTATATGGTGGTACATCGACATTTTTAGTTCCTCAATATTTACATATTTATATTGTATTTTAGTATCTATAACATATATCTATCTATAACATCCATAATCTATAATTTATAATATATAATTTATGATCTATAATCTATAACATCTATAATGCATAATCTATAATCTATAACAATATATATGAGCCTTTGTAGAAAGAATTTGGAAGGATCAATATTCACTCTCAACAATTTACTAGATACAATAAATTTTGAAACTTTTTTTTTTTCTACCGTCAAATTAAGATTCAAGGAGATCTTCCTATTATATATATGAAGAGATTAATTAAGAATTTGAACATGTATTTTGACACACAGATAAGTGATAATGTATTTTTTAATTTTTTTAATATGAAACTTTATTATCATCATTTTTTCATAATAATTACTTATATTTACTAGGAAGGTGACTTTGAAAAATTATGGAACATTTGGAAGGTCCAATATTCACTCTCAACAATTTTCCGAATTGACAACAAGATTAAATTTAATTTAAATGTGACATCTTCATATTTTTTTGTTACTTATTTATTTAATTTTAAATTTCCTTATTGTAGGTTCACCGTTTAAAAGTATATTCTATTGGATGGAGTTCTACGATAATAGTAGATAAAACTCAACCTTAAAAAATGGTAAAAAAGAATTGTTGTCTCAAAATTTAGAAAGGTAATATAATAATATAGTTATAAAAATAACTCCTTATATGTATCGATTTGGTAAATATAAAAATATAGTTGTAACATTTCTTCATTTAAATCAATTCTAACTCATATTTTTTAAACAATATTAGGACACTTGAAAACGCAAGATCGAGTAATATCTGTCATATTAACCACTTTCATATAAAACAAAATATCTCCATTTTTTGAGGTTGAGTTTATTTTTTTCATAAACTATAAATAATTACATGAAATGTTAAATATCTCATATTGATACATGACATTATATTATTTATTTTTGTAGTTTTTTAAAGTCAAAGAAATTATGGATGATGTATTCTATAAAGTGTTAAGATTAATTCTCGAAAGATATGAGACTATTCATTTTAATTATTATTTAAATCTTATATATTTTGTCTTCAATATTAATATTAACTAAAAATAATAACAAAATAATATTTATTTTCTTTCATAAATTGCAGGGAAGCTAAAAATCGTCCTGATGTAGAATCATTATTTGGTATTTCTATTAAGAAAAATTTATGAATATTATTACATTATGTTGTACAATTTTGTAAATCCAACCGTTAGATTGAATGTTCTTTATTCTAAGATCATATATACAAAGTTTTATATTAATCCAAGATGATTTGATACTTCATTCTTACAAAACAAAATTGACGTAATATATTCATTTCAAAATACCCTAAAATATGAACACTTTGATTACCTTCAAGTTGTTGTTCAATTATAACAAAATTTGATATACACATATAAAGTGATATGATATTTCAATCTAACGGTTGGATTTACAAAATTCACAATTAATATAAAGTTATTGAGTGGTGTAATACTTACACCGGTGTAATTATAACCTCTCTCTCTCTCTCTCTCTCTCTCTCTATATATATATATATATATATATGTTATTTTAAGAGTTAATCACCTATACACTGCTAGTGTAAAATTTGTTTACACTAGCAACCAATTAGATCTTTTAATTATGCCATATCACTATTAAAAGTAAATGTGTTTATAGTGACATGGCACAATTAAAAGATCTAATTGGTTGCCAGTGTAAAAAAACTTTATTACACTATCAGTGTATGGGTGATTAACTCTTACTTTAATCCATGCTTACAAATATAATTATGTAGAGCATAAGTTATTTACTATATTTTAACCATTTTTATATATAAAATAAATAAAAATTAAAACTAAATTGTATTTATTTATAAGAAAACAATAAATACATAAAGTAAAAAAAGTTGACAAATATTTAAAATTTTACAATATTACAATGTAATTAATATGCACTTCATCAACGAATAATAATCAAATAAATCATATTAATAGTGTAAATTTATGAATACCAATATATGTCAACAAATGAATTCATTTTATAGATAAGTTATTTTAAATTATAAGGTAAAGTACATAGAGACACAAAGTGTTTTGGTCTCACTAGTCTATTATAAAGAGAATATATTTTATTTATACCTATTATAAAGGGGGTAGTAACCACCCTTTGGGTCTCCACTTATTAGTGGACATTTATACCCTTGAATGTAAAAAAAAAAAAATTCTTATATCAACTTCTAATATTTGTCTAGTGTGTAATTATTAGAGGCACAAAGCGTCTCAATCCCTCTAGTATATATTAAGTAAATATATTTTTAATAAAAATATATACCTATTATAAAGGAAATATATTTTAGTAACCACCATTTTGATCTCCACTTTTTAGTGGACCTTTATATCCTTGAATGTAAAAAAGAAAAATTCTTCTTATATCAACTTCTAATATTTGTCTGTGTGTAATTATTAGAGGCATGAAACACCTCGGCCCTTCTAGTATCATTAATAGTCTTACAATCTAAAAAATAGTCCTAGTAACATACAATTAATCACGAGATTAGGCTTAGGTGCATATTAAATTTAGTTTATTTTAAAAAATCACTTTTGTCAACCATTTTCATGAGAGAACTTTTGAAGAAAAAAAAAATTATTTCAAGAAAATGATTTGCAGATATGTTATTAGTAGGATATAAGTGGGTGTTGCTGAAAATCTAATAAAAAGGATATCATAATGATGATCAAGTCACACTTGAAAGGGGTTAGTTCTACGCCAATAAAGCATAAGAATTAATAAAATTAAATATGACAATCTTAGGACTTGGCAAAAGCGCTTGAGATTATGCGAGCTACATGATGATATCATATTGATTAAAGAGAAAATGTAATTAGTTATTTAAAAAAATATGTCCTTTGTATGTATATCATACCTTAACAAACTTTGAATTAAATATGAAAATTAATACAAAATAGTTGAGATGAAACTGTTCAATATCAATTTCACAAATATATTTTTTTAAAAATTAGGTTTTAATGTAACATTTGGTTCATAATGCTTGCTCGAAACTTAAAGATTGAATGGTGATTCTTTGAAGCTTAATTATTGCTTGGTGTTATGAAAACTACACAACTAACGTTGGGGGGTGGGGGGGATCAATGTTTTATCATACGAAATCTATAACAATCGGTGGTGCAACAAACTCAAAGCTTAAAAGAAAAATAAATGGAGATTCTAGTAGAAATTTTCAAAAATATCTCTAAAATGGCCCGTTTGTGACACATTCAATGTTACACATGAGGTTTTTATTCTTGAGAACCAACCATCTGCACTATCCCAATCATTCAATATAATATAATGAATGAACATATTGAATCAATCCCAAGACACTACAAAAAAAAAAATTAATGACTTAGTGACCAAATTTAATGATTTTTTAACTAATCTTATGGTCAAAAATTTTTAGAAAACTTTAGAATTGTGTATAATTAATTCAGCCACTAATTCAATTTTTTCTTGTAACCACCCATGCAACATCAACTACAAAATTTGCTTAGAAGGCGAAGAAACCAGCAACAATAGTGGCGGTGATGGCAACAGATAGTTGGAGAGTGGAGGCACCACTCTCTGCATCGGCATCAGCGTCCGGGCCAAAGGTGTCAAAGGGTTCGGGTTCCGGAGCATAGAGCTCAATAGGGTTGCTAGCTTGGGCTGGTGGGGTTGAGATATCATCCTCCTCTGAAGGGGAAGTGGAAGGAGGAGAAGATAGGGGCGAATTGGTAGATGGGGCAGGTGACGACTTTGGTGATGGTGATGGTGATGATGCTGATGAAGGTGAAGGTGAAGCCTTAGGTGCTGATGTTGGTGATGGAGATGATTTTGGGGATGCAGATGGGGCCTCAGCCATTGCCATGCTGACTAGGGCAACGAAAATAAGTGCAAGAACAATAAGTTGACGGGCCATTTTTTTTGTTTGTTTTGGTTTTTAGTTTTAGGGTTGGTTGGTTGGTTCTTGCACAAAATGATTCCTAGAGTAATTGCAGTTGTTCTCTAAGGGGTGTAGAGAAGAACTGCAGAGTAAGAATGAGAAACATGTTTGCATGGGACGATTATTTATAGAGAAATTTGATGGTGTGAGAGAAGTTGTTGGAGAACCTGTGGAGGAGATTAGATGGATCAAAAGATTGGAGTCAAATCTCAAATGCATATATGGATGAAAACAAGAGGAAGAGAGGAAATTTAGATCCCATTTTACATGAATGTTTGACACTTGCTTAAATTTAGTGCGAGTCAATCGTGTAGAGGTGGTGCATTAATTTTGTTGCACCTTTATTTCTGAAACAATTTTTTTTCTAGTTTTTTCCTCTACAACTCCAAAAATAATGAGATTGGTTCCTATGGTTTATTTGTTTGTGAGTGGTCTATATAACATATAAAATTTCAAATATTTGTAAAAAAAAAATCTAAGAAAATTTAGCCTTTTTTTTTAACATATTTAAATATGGAAAAGTCTAGTTCGAGGCAAAGATAAATTTTTCGTGATTTTCGTATTTGTGTTTTTCATGATATAAATTCTTTTATTTAATGTAAACCCATAGAGTTCATTATGAAAAAATTTCATAATTATTCAATAAGTTTTACTATTTTTTTAAAATAAAAGAAGTAGATGAATGTTCTATCATTTTTCTATATTTATTTTTCTGGATTTGCTAGAACTTTTGCATCTATGTTTTAAATTACTAGGACAAATATAGAAAAAAATTGGAAAATAAAAATAAAATTATGATCTTATGTCTTTGAAATCGACCATAAAAATGTTATAAGAAAATAAGTTTGTTTACTATGTTAAAATAAATGAAGAAACTAAAAGCCCAAAAATGGAAATACTCTGGGCATATTTGAGTATTATTCATGTGTTCTTGAAAATTTTAAAAGTTTTGGATTTTAATTTCAATTTCAGTGTTATGGATAGGTTTAAGAAGTATACAAAACCTTATTCTTGTTTGATCTTAAGTTGTAATAGTTTTGGCTCAAGAATGTGTTGGTAACATCATATAATAGACTCAATAAAAAATTAATCCAATTAATAAATTGAATTAAATCTAAAGATAAATGCTAATTATTATTTTCTCACCAATATAACTTGATTTTTATATGTGTAAAGATTAGAATTGAATTTATATAATTTAATTCAACTTAGATGCTTTTATATTAGTCCCTAAAACAACTAAATTATTAAATAAGTTCTTAAATTGTCAAATAAATCCTTAAATTTAACTACTTATTTTTATTTTAAACAAATGTGATTGTTAATTTACATTCTTAGAGATTTATATGACAATTTCTTAATTTCATATACCAATATGATAATGTCTTTATGATTTAGAGATCAAAGTAGTTGTTTACCCTATTAATATGTTTGTTTGGTTTTAAAAAAAAAAGTAAGATAAATAGAATTTTAATAAAATTAGTCTAATTAAAATTCAAAATTTTAAACATTTCTAAAAATGACTATAAGATGATTTCAAATATAATTGATCATAAAATTTAAGTATCTTAAATAATGTTTGGCTTGATAATTTTTCTTTTTATATATTATAATATCTTTGCATTAATGTAAAAAATAACATTTCTTAACGTACTTTCTATGTCGGATGTTTTTCACATGATATAAAAAGTGATATAATGACATACTTGTAAATATGTCAAAACATTTTATGATGGATTTTGACTTATCTGTCATAGAATATTCTTTTTATGACGGGTAAATCAACACCTATTATAAAATGTATTAGTTAGTCTTTGCCACCAACCTTTTGATCGCAAATATTGACTTATCCGTAATAGAAAGAAACATTCTATAAAGGGTAAAATGTAACCCACCATAGAATGTCTTGCTATTACCCACACTGTGTCATGCTCCACTATTTCAACCTTTTTTTCCTCAAGCAACATTAAAGGCAATTTTGACGACCCCTCTATGCATATTACCTAGGCAATTCTGACAACCGACGTGAGCAAAATGCTTTAGTGACCAAGGTGACCTATTTTCTATCAAGTCCAACGACATTCTTCTTCTCCTTCAGTTCCATGGTTTTTAGGGTTTGTGTTGGATAATGGGGTTTGTTGATTATCTTTACTCATTGCATATTTGGTTCTCATTTAGTTTCCCTTCAATTCAGCAATAACTTCTTCTTTCTCTTTCACACGCTCTCCCAAGTTTGAATGTTTTAGGTGTTGGTTTATTTTCTTGTTTTGGGGATGGTTTGGGTGTCGTGGTTTGGTTGCATAATTGTGTTAATTTGTCTTTGTTTTGTGTTAATTTGGCTCTATTGTACATGTAGGGGTTGGTTTGGGACTATTGTGGGGGTAGTTGTAGAGGTTTTTTTTTTTTGCGCTTATGATATAGTTATTTAGGTGATATTAATGTGGTTGTTTTGTGGTAAAGTAATGGACTATTTCAGGACTCATTTGAGAGGTTTTTTAGTAGTTATAATGGACTTTTATATTGCTCTTTTAGAATGTGTTTGAGTAATTGACTTTTACATTTCAAAGTAATGGGACATTTTAAGGACTCATTTAAGAGGCTTTTTAGTAGCTATAAAGGACTTTTATATTACTATTTAGAATATGTTTGAGTAATTTAACAAAATTTATAAATGTTATATATGTACAGCCATAATGTACTAAGTTAAATAAACCTATAACATAACTTGGGTTTATTTAAGATAGAAATATTTATTTTAGGTACCAATAAATTTAAATTAAGTTACGTATATATCCATAAATTTAGATTGTGACTAAATCTTAGTTTCTCGCTTAAGATTGAATACAATAGTTACATAATTTATGCTTGTGAGTTATGTATGAGTTGTAGTAATGTGATCTCTTATTCCATTGATTGCTAATATTTAATTGATATAGTTGAATTGTTAATTACTATATTGAGAATGGTTGATGAATTTATGATATGGAATTAGTTGACAATGAATTAATGAGATCATGTGAAATGTTATGCATAGAGTTTGTTTGACATGTATCATGCATATAAAAATATTTTTGTAAGGGTACGGTATGAATACACCACTAGGGAAGGTTCCTTGTGTAAAAGTTTGGGAACCAACCTTGAGGATAACTCCGTTTGGAAGTTCTAGTCATTCCCTATCAGCATGGGGTGTATCTTGCACGACTTACCTATCCTAACCAGACCCTGGTAATATGTCCTTCTAGTGAAAGTGTGTAGGGAGTGTGACCTAGCATGTACACCTAGACTACTCTAGTGTGTTGCTAGCGGCAATGCACAATTGAGATATGTGATATTTTTATTAGCAACATATGCATGATAACATGTAATCTGTGTCCATTGCATATGCATTATAATCTTATCTGTTGTTGCTTACTATGTTATGAATGAGTTAAATATGGTGATGTGTAACTGTGTATGCTATATCATGTTGTATGTTTTGTTTGTGTTTGGCTAGTTGGTTTGCATTCTTTTACTATGAGCTAGAGTGAAATGTTTCTCACTTCTTTTTTCTTTTGTGTTGTCTTCTTGTGGGTTTTTTTTAGGTAATCACCAGCATGGTTTTGAGGATGATGGTGATGAGGCTTAGTCCTCAATGTTAGATTTTGTTTTGATAGGACATGTGATACTAAGGAATTAGTTAGGGCTAGTTAGGATTTGATTCTTGCTATTTACTTTGAATAGTTTAACTTTTATTTTTGTTGTAATTGTTATTCTTGCTAAGTCTAGTTTATGTTAAAATGTAATTCTCTCTACCTGTGTGAACATTGAGTTTATTTATTACATTGAGGCTATTAAGTTTTATATTGTATTATAGCATGTTTGGTGAAGGGTGTCACACCATTCAATTTCATATGCACTCCCTTAATAATAACACTTGTAACTTCCCTTACACTAGTTTCCAAACAAAAGAGAACTCTCACCAAATCAAGATAGTAGGGACCTTGAAGTTTTGAAAATTTCTTTAATCTTTGAAACTCCAGAAGTGGTGGAAAAGTGAAGCCCTCGTTGATGAAACATTCTAGATTGATAGATTTCGGTGGGATAATCCTTCTCCCTGCATACCGTTCAAAGTATTCTTTTCGAGCCTTCTCCTCTGGCACTACTAGAAAAATATTATTCCACATCACCATATTTACATCAGTTCCCTACAAAATAATGTAAAAAAAATGTGCGGTGACAATTTTGTAAATATCTTAAATAAATAAGAATATTTACATCAATTATTCTAAAAAATGATGTATATATAAATAATTCTACATTGGTTATATAAATGAGCGATGTAAAAATGAAAATAGCCAGCTATTCTACATGTTTTGTGTTGACCGATGTAGAAGGGGTGACTAAATTCTTCCCCGCCCCCGCGACCACTCAGTAAATGCGCGCTCACCCTATGACTCAAACGCACACTCTCGAACGCTCCCTCTCGCACACTTTGAGACCCAAACCCTCTCAAGACTCTCAAAGCTAAAATGCTCTCTACAGTCGAAAAGTACCAGCTCAGGCGCTTCCTCGGCCGCGGGAACTTCGCCAAGGTCTACCAGGCGCACTCGCTGCTCGACGGTGCCACGGTCGCGGTAAAAGCCATCGAAAAGTCCAAGACGGTCGATGCCACCATGGAGCCCCGCATCGTGCGCGAGATTGACGCCATGCGTCGCCTCCAGCACCACCCTAACATCCTCAAAATCCACGAAGTCCTTGCCACCAAGACCAAGATCTACCTCATCATGGACTTCGCCGGCGGCGGCGAGCTCTTCTCCAAGCTTTCCCGTCGCGGCCGCCTCCCGGAGTCCCTCGAGCGCCGCTACTTCGCGCAGCTCGTCTCCGCGCTTCGCTTCTGCCACCGCCACAGTTATAAGTTGGGGATGAACGCTTTTGACATAATCTCCATGTCCTCGGGGTTGGACTTGCGGGGGCTGTTCGAAACGACGTCGGATAAGGGAGAAACGGTTCACTTCCGATAAGAGTGTGGAGGCCGTCGACAAGAAGGTGAAGGAGGTTGGCTTGAATTTGGGGTTTAGGGTTGAGGTTGAGAAGAACAGTGCGATTGGGTTGGGAGAAACGGTTCACTTCTGATAACGGAGAGATTCGATAATTTTGGAAAACGAGGTTTTAAGTGTGGTCTTGGACACCCAATTAGCCAGTAACTCATTTTGATTTGTTTTTGCGATGAAGATCTATGGCATCAGGAATATAGTTTTTGTGTGAATGCTACTAATTTAGGGATTTTAATAGTAGATTTGTGTTGCACAGGTGTTGGTGTGTGCACTGAGGTGGAAATAAGAATACTGAATTGTGAACAGCATGGTGAGTGTTGTTTTATTGGGTGTTATGTTTTTGGTGCTTTGCCTGTTGTTGATTGTTCTAACCTTCATTCACTTGATTTGGTGATGGTTTTGTGACTCTAACTAATTTTTTTTTTAAAAATATAATTACCTTCTTGGAGCTTTCAAGCCTGCGTGTAATGTCTTGATCACGTTTAATGATGGGAAGAACCGTAAGCAGGTAAGCGACCACTTTTACTTTTTGTTTTTGTAATTTCTATTATGGGAAGTAATGTTATTCATCACATTGTGGCAATTTCATTCTGTAACATTGTTGCAAAAGACATATGTTGATGATAGTGAAAGGTTAGGAGAGTAGGAGAAGGGGATTTGTAATTAGTGATTTTTCAATAGATCAGATTTTCGCTGCATCATAGTAACTTGTATTGTTATATGTGGATGTTTGGTTGATATCATTTTATTTTTTTGTGGAATTTTAGGTTCCATTTAAAAAAGAAAATGGTCAAATGGTTACAATCCCACTTTTCCAAAGTCAAGAAAACATTGCTGGGAAGGTATTTTATTTTTTAATGTTCATAATATTGTACTGTTGAGTTTAAGTTAATCACATGATGTTTTTTAATGACTTCTGATATATTGTCAATCTTACTAGTTGAATTTTAAATATCTACTGCCATTTTAGATTACAATAGAACCAATGCAAGGGAAAAAAATTGATCACAATGGTGTTGAGCTCCTTGGGCAGATAGGTTTGTACTTGACTAATTTTTCTAACTCTTAAATGTGTTGTGCCTCAAAAGTCAAAATACTTAATGGAGGTAAACAGAAGGATGGAAAAAAAATGAGTTATTGTTTAGAACCTTTTATTTATCAGTATACTATGTGATGAAGCTGATCATATTGGCAAAAATTCACTACAATTTGTAGCATTTTCGTGCACTTGCTAAAAGGAATTTACGTTGTCAATTATTTCATTATCTAATATTTTTTGTCTTTTGAATCACATGTATTACTTTTGTTAGATAAAGTTTAGAACTTTTAGGCATGTCACATTTTATATTTGCATTACTTGTAAATAGATGTGTGTATAATGGAACTTCATACCTTTAAGGGGACTGGAATTATTTAAAAAAATTATCCAGCATTGAGGATGTATGCTACTCTGGAATTTTTATTCATTATTTTCTTTTAAATTGTCATTTAGGCTAAATATTCCAACTTGATTCTCTATTTTTATTTTTATCTAGTTATATCCATGATTGGTAGGTGGATTATTTATTTTCCCTTGAGCATATGCTCCTGAAACTGATATGATCTTCCTGCCACTGATGATCTTATTTCAAATTCCAAATTTGGGCACTTCAATATTTTTTATACAATGATGTAACATGGTAACTTTTAAAGTTTTCTCTGGTAATGACCAGTAATGAAATAAATTTTCCATTCATCACTTGCTGTAAACATATGCATTTGTTATTTCATTATTGCTTTGGGAATAATTATTTGTTAATGTCTGACATCCTTTTTTTTTTACTTTATTACTGAGAAAGTTCATTTTGAATTTTGTTTCATTGTGTAGAGATGTATTTTGACAGAGGAAATTTTTATGACTTTACTTCCCTTGGTAATTGAGTGTTCTATCACTTTCATTCTCAAATTTGAAATATTCTACATGTGTGGTGATCCATGCAAAAGTTATACTATTGCAAAATATTCTCAAATTGAGGGTGTCTGGCATTAAGTTTGGTTGATGTCACTTATCTATTATTTCTAAATCTAAATCTAATATATCTGTGACTGAATCAGGTAAGATTGCAAATGTTTTCCTTTGCATTCAACTTGTATCATGCATGTGTATATGGTTATATGCACCTTTGTTTTCCAAGATTTTCTAGCATCATTTGCATTGTGATTTTAGAGGTCTTCTTGATTATCTAAACTAATTTTCAAGTAACTGATAATGATATTTTGGTGCAGACTGAGAAGTTATAGAAGGAGAATCAGGAATTAGAATTTGTTCTGGATATGTATGGTCAGGAGAATTATGAGAAAAGGTATGCTGATTTGAAATTATAAAGTAGTGGCACGAGTTTCATGTAGTTAAATTTAGCTCCATACTTTCCTTATTTTTGGCTTCACCATGTATCCATATATTCATGTATCCTTTGTATAACTATAATGTAATCAATTAGAAATACATGTATTTTTTAATGTTTTCCTTTGGTCTCAAATGTTTCCATTCACAAACCACGTTAGCCAACTTGTTAAGGTTTTGATTTTAAATTTAACTTGAGTTAAACTTTTAGTTTTGCTTGGTAACAAACTAGAGGATTTATTTTGCATTCAAATCAAAATTTTGTTCTCTTCTTTGTATTTGGATGATTTGATCTTGATATGCTATCGTGATCTTGATATATATGCTATCGTGAACTTATACTTTACATTGATTATGGTCTTGCTTCATTGACACACTTGTGTAGTGTCTATTGTTTTTTTCCCCCCTTTTATAAACCCATATTTGTGTGTTTAATTTGAGAGAGAAGTTTCTGGTGATGAGGAGTGGAAGGTGGATGGGCTAAAGTTTATACAGTTGAAGACTTTCTCTTTTGGCCAATATACCATGCTGCATTACACAGATGGCTGCATACCCTGGGACGATGTGTTAGGCTAATTGCAGGAGTCTCATTTGAGTTTACCATGGAGTAAATTTGAGGAATGCAATTGCTGTATTGAAACAATATTTTTTATTTATTTCATTGGTACCATTTGTTTATCTGGTCTGGGGTATTTGCAAAAATTTATGCTACATTATGTTGTTTGGGAATGGCCAGATTTGTGGTTACACTTCAGTTGGGAATGATAATTACTTTGTCTAAAGCTATATATATGTTCATTACAGGTAATCAGAAATAATCCAAAAATAAGCATGATTTTTTTTTAAAATGCAATCTACATCGGTTCTCAAGAAAATTGATGTAGATTTAAGCATAAATCTACATTGGTTCTCCAAAGAACTGATGTAGATCATCGATTGTCTAGAAAATCGATGTAGATTTATGCTTAAATCTACATCAGTTTCAGAACTGATGTAAAAATGTATATATTTTCTACATCGCTCTATTCTACATCGGTTTTAGAATCGATGTAAATTACTTTAGAGAACCGATGTAGAATATGCATCTTGTAGTAGTGTGGGAACCACCAATTAACCAAAGCTTGTCTTTCTAAAGGAAGACGTCTCTTATTTCGCTCTCACTTCGAGTTTTCATGGACATTTAGATGAAGAATAAGCCATTGATGGATTTAGAGAACAGGAGATGAAAAGTTTGTAGGTTTGAAGTTTAAAATGGGTTAGGATTTGAGAATGTGAGGAGATTTTCTTATAATGATGTATATATAATGAAGGATGTGTAGTTTGTGTTAGAAAAAGGTTTGGAAGTGAAGAGTTAGGATTTTTCACAAAGGGTTGGTTCCTTTGAGGTTTAGCACTGAGTTCCTTTAAGGTTTGGCATGAGTAATTAATATTTAAAAATTCACGGAATGTGAAAAAAGATGTAATAATCAATTATTTATATTAGCAAAAATGCTTAAAAATTTGATCTGCACTAAATAATCGATTATTTCCTTAAATAATTGATTATTCCAAAAAGTATGATCTTAGTTAAACTAGAATAATGAATTATTTACTGAAAAACTTAACACTTCATCAAACATTTTCGCACAAACATACTTAAGTCAATCATTCATCTTAATCATTTTGCATATTAAAATACAAACAATATTAACATATTTCAAACAATTCATTACTCAATATAAGCATGCTTCAAAATTCCTAGTTCATTTCTAAGAAGATTAAATCTATCTAGGTAAAAGCTTAGTGAATATATAAGCTAATTATTTACTTATTTTTATAAACCCCACTATGCAACCACCTTTTTGAACATGATTTCTAAGAAAGTGGTGCCTTATCTCTATATGTTTAGTTCTAGAGTGTAAAATAGGAATTTTAGTTAAATTCATAGCACTATTATTATCATACCTTAAATGAATGTTATCTAGTCTTACACCATAGTCCATTAGTTGTTGTTTCATCCATAGAAGTTGAGCTCAACAACTTCTAGCCACTATGTACTCAACCTTAACTATACTTAAAGCAAAACAAACTTGCTTCTTACTATTCCATGAAAATAATACACTTCTTAAAAGATGATAAGTATCACTAGTAGTCATTCTATTTGATTTGCACCTTGCACAATCAAAATTATAATATTTTACTAAGCTTAAAGATACACCCTTAGAGACAATAACTCAACATCAATAGTTCCTCTTAGATGTTTTAAAATTCACTTAATAGCACTCATATGTGAATCTTTTAGATTAGCTTAAAATCTAGCACACAAGCATACAACAAACATTATATCAAGTCTACTAGCTATAGGATATAAGAGATATTCAATTATACCTCTATACTTTGATGTGTCTACAACTGTACCTCTTTCGTCAAAATCAAGACTATGATATCCTTTACCCCTACATGCATACATTCAATAATGTAAAGTAATACATCTGAAATATACCTCATTTATTAATTGAAACCATGAGTAAAAGACACCACATTCAAATTCAAAATTTAAAAAACCAAAATAAAATAAATTGTTACTATAAGTTCAAACACTTTGAGGAAATGTTTATAAAAGAAATAAACTAAAACGTCTAATTCAAATAAAAGATAAATAATTCCTATGCTAAAAAGCCCGATGTCACATCCAATCAGAGTTGTCTCATTAATTAAACTCTTCCAAATTCAAAATCACCTATATACATAAATTCATAACAAAACAACAAAGAACAGGGAAGTGATAACATATCCTACTCCGGTTACCGGTGTAGGAAAAAATCAGGTAGCCACGCACATACATCATATAATCCATGTATCAATAATTAATAACAATAAAATTAGTAAGTGTTTATTTGCATTCTAACACTCAACACATCATCACATCATAATTCAATGTACAAAACATGTTATGCTCATGTAAAGACAAGACTTTTATTTTTTATTTCTATTTTTTTTTTAAATTGAACGTCTCTTATATTCTCTTTCAACTATTGCAATAAAATTATTCCAAATTAAACATGATTATGCCATTTTTCTCCAAAATTTTAATTTTAAAATATATTAAACTCTCTTTTAAAATATATATCATCAACATGTTTTGGAAATTCTCTTCAACAATTTTAATCAAGAGAGTTTTTTTTTTAAATTTAATTTAATTAATTTATTTATGTGAAAAATCCACCAAATTTATTTTTTTAGTTAGTGTATGTCAAAAAATTTAACTAGAGTTGTAAAATGAGTTGGGTTGGTCTAATTTCCATGAACCAATACTTATAAATAGGTTGACCCAATCCCATCCAAATTTTTTATGGACCACTTATTTTGTACTCCAACTTAATTCCTTATTCTATCAAGCCAAACCAACTTCACCCATTCCCTTTTATTTTCCATTTTATTTAAATCTTACAATGAAAAATAAAAATAATGTGCCAAATAGTAGGTTTCGAGTACATAAAAAAATAAGACGAGGTAGCAAATCATAAAAAAATAATTTATAAATCAGTTCCAATCATGCGCAACAACAAAATAAAAAATAATTTCCAAACATTAAACCGAGATAATTTTAAATTTTAAAATAACTATAAAAAAAAAAAAAGTGCGACTATCAATTCAGGCCCTACACATTGGGCCTATTGTGGGCTTTCTTTTGCATCAACAATCAGTCAAGAAGCGGTTCCTTTTTTCGGATTCGGGTTTCATTTTCATTATGATCTCTGAATGATCCGAAGTTCTGAACTGAACCACGTGCCGTTAAGCTTCGAGTTCAGAGTTCAACGCCTCGTAGCATAGAAACAACGGCGGCGGAAACCACCGCTCAGCGCCGGAGACACCGATCTTTTCCCACCGTTTTTTATTCCGGTAGCTTACGCTTTCTGAATACTTTCTCCATTGTAAGGGGTTTATTTATTTATTGGATCGAGAATTTTAAATTGGGAATGTAATTTAAGAAGGGATTTGAATTTTTTTGGTGTAGAATTTTCTGTTCGGATATCTTATTAGAGAGAATTTAAATATATTGGAATTTTAATTAACTAAAACTACGGCATTTCAATTTTCACTTAGAAATATAGAATTTTGAAATTTCTCGCATTCCCTCGCTTGTGCTCTCTTTCATATTTCGCGTGTTCGAGTTCTCAACCTAACTCGTTTCTGTCTAATTGGTCTCTGCATTTCTTGTCATTTATGATTTCTTTCATAATCTAGGGTTTTGTGTGTTTTATTTTTGGTTTATCTTTGATTTGTCTCTGCAATTCTTCCCATCTTTGATTTATTCTCTAATCTAGGGCTTTTTTGTGTTTTGCTTTTTTTTTTTTTTTCCCCCCTATGTTTTTTTTTGTTTTTTTTTTTTTTCCCCCCTATGTTTTTTTTTGTTTTTTTTTTTTTTCCCCCCTATGTTTTTTTTTGTTTTTTTTTTTTTTCCCCCCTATGTTTTTTTTTGTTTTTTTTTTTTTTCCCCCCTATGTTTTTTTTTGTTTTTTTTTTTTTTCCCCCCTATGTTTTTTTTTGTTTTTTTTTTTTTTCCCCCCTATGTTTTTTTTTGTTTTTTTTTTTTTTCCCCCCTATGTTTTTTTTTGTTTTTTTTTTTTTTCCCATCTGTTTGGTAACTTGCCTCGTACATGCATACAATTCTGAGTGTGCTGAGTTTCTCTGAAAGGAAATTTTATAAATATTATTTTCTATATTATGAGATAATGATTAAGCACTAGGGGGGTATATCTGTGTTACGAATTATGATTATTTCTATTTTGTTCCTCTCTTGTTTAATTGTTTGGTATCTATGATCTGATGGTTCCTATAAAAAGGTTAATTTTTGAAGCACAGAAATATGATAAACTAAATGGGAATTATGCAATTTCAGTCATGGAAATGATTTCATGATCTAGATTATATATATAACATGCTGCAAACGACAGATGAAAATGAAAATTGTAGCTGGAATTATATATATTTTCAAAAATTTTAATATCTGGGAAGAAAAAGTTATGTAGGATGTTATTAATGTTGTTTTTCGGGATGTATTTGACTATTTTCTTTTGATGAAGTCTTCTGAAATTGGTTGTTTGGTTTAGATCATATGTAAAGCAATCTGCAAACAAGATTGTGGAATTTGCTGGCCTTTAGTCAATCCCGATCATAATTAAGCCCAAATAGGCAAATAGCAAGATTGTGGAATTTTGTTCAAATGTGTTATGTAATTTTTTTGGGAATTTAAAACATACGTTATTCAATATGAAATACGTATGATATGAATTTTTTTAAAAAAATAATAGAGACTGGGTCATGCTGTCCAACCTATAATTCACTAATCCTGACCAGATTGATGACGGGTCTGGTTTTTAAAACATTGATCATCTGTAAGAAGGGAGTATATTCCTAAAACTTTCTTGTTTTAATAAAATATTTTGAGTTAGGACTATTTGTTGCCTCAGTCAGCAAGCTTTATGCCAATTGAAGGTTGTGCAACTGACGAACCAAACAATGGTGAAAACTAAGGAAGAATGCCAAGCCATGATTCACAAGAGTTTCCAACGTAAGTCAATTTTCCTTCTCATCTTTCCCCCATCAATAATCTTACTCATCTCATCTTGGCTTTTTAGATTTTTGAGTACTTGTTTAAAAAAAAAAATGCAACTTTTCTCCGAGGAATCTGGTTTGGATGATATTTTTTGTTAATTGGTGGGTCAGTTTTAACGTTGACAGATCCAACAGTGAGGTTTCTGAGGGAACGTTTGGATAAAGCTGGGTGTGCTGTAGGAGCCAAGTTTTTCAAAGCTGTTACTTGCAACCAGAAAAGGGCTGGTTATTATGAGCGTGGTGTAGGGGTACTTGTTTCTTTCTTTCGTCTGTTTGGTCTTTTCTTTTAAGTAAAATTTAGTTTTATGTACCTGTTTAAATATGTTTTTAATCTCTTAAATTTGGAGTAAATTTATATTTGGTTCCTTAAATTTAAAATTAAAATTGATTTTTAGTCTTGTAATTTAAAAAAAAAAAAACTTATTTAGTCCCTCAAGACCACCAGGAACATCACAGACAGTGATAAGACTTAGTCAATTGGGTTAATGTGATGTTTTCATTAATAATGATACTAATAAGTGAATTTTGTACAACATATTTAATAATAGGTGAGCTAAATATTTTTTTTTTTAAAATACAGAAACCAAAATCAAATTTACCTTGTACTTGAAGGACTGAAAACAAATTTGAGCCTTATGATTGGGATTTTATGTTAGTCTCTTAGAGTGTTGGAGTCATCCTTCTACATGCATAATTATGAAGTTGTTGAAGTTTAGCTTTGTGAAGAAAATAAGCTCTCAATTCTAATCCTGCTTCCTTGATTTGCTAGTTGAATTAGTATTTTGATCAATGCTTTTACTTTGGACGGATGATAAGGTTTGCAATTGGCTAATGTTCATTTCCTCCGATATTGTTTTTCCCAGGTAAAAGTGTGCAGCAATTATATGCGATTTCAAGACGAAGTCAACCAGGTGGTAATTCATGAGCTAATTCATGTGTTTGACCACTGTGTTGCCATGTTAGATTGGTCTGATTGTGCTCACATTGCTTGTACTGAGGTTCCTATCTTACACTGTCTTCCGATCATCTATT